CTGATTCCCTGACCTTCACACAAAAGAAAGAAAGCTTTATGTAAGTAGTAAACCAGCGTTGCTCTCAGGACCGACCGGCAAAGCTGAGCGCGTTTGTTCCAGATGGAGCACATACCTTGCAAGGAACAATGAATGAAGAAACGTGGTGGAAGTTCAGTTAGTTGAGTTGGAGGAAGGGAGAGAGAGAGAAGAGGGAGGAGAGGGATAGATTAAGAAATTTCAGCTTTCAAGCCGGTCAGCCGTGGCTCATAGGTTTGTAATCCTAGCTCCTTGGGAGACTGGATTGTGGTTTGAAGCCAGCCTTAAATTGTCTAGAACTCAGTGAATCATTACATTTTGAAGAATGCACAGATAGGGGTGAAAAATGAAACTATAATTCTAGAAGAGGTCCACAGTCTTTGATGGTGTCAATTTTTGCAGCTACCTTTGTGCCCAGTTATTAAGTGACTCTGTCTTCTTTGAGTAATTTTCAGGAGGAATTCTGAGCTAAAAGCCAACCCAGTGAAGAGCGAGAATGTAGTCTCCCTGCAATTCTGGGGACCACTCTCTGACCCCAGAACTCCTTAAAAGTATAGGCAGCCAAACATTGGAAAATATCTCTGACTTCCCCAGCTGACTTTCCAGGGATCCAGTGGATTCCTGTGGATTTTATGGGTTCCAGTCAATTTCCTAGTGAGTACCCTGCCATAGGTTTTGAGGGTGTTTTGAGGGTGTTTCTCTAATCTGCCTCATGAATTCAGTAGCATGGGTGAGGGACCTTTCCAGAGACTCTAGCCAGTATTCCTTTGAGATTCCCAGTAAGTTCAACAGCACTTTCTCCCCTTAACCTGCTTCCCCAACCCCAAGGACAGCTTCCCCAGGGATTTTGTTGGCCCCTAGAGGATAGTCCCCTGCCTGTGGCTTTGATTAGCTGACTGTGGACTACTTTGGCTTGGGGCAACTCAGCAAACTTCACCATCCCAGGGTCTGTGAGATACTTGTCCAGTGAGGTCCAAATCTAAGACTTGGGGAGGCATTCCCTCAGAGCCAAGTTTTTCTTCCCAGATAATCTTCCTCAGCCTTAGGGCATTCATTAGCATTTCCTCTGATCCCTCTTGGTAGTTAATTCCCTGCAGCTAGTTAATAATTATATTTAACCTTACTCTACAGTTTCTGTCTCCAGACTAGACCTTAACTGATCTAGGCATTCATTCTTTCACTCACTCAGTCTTTCCTTGGTATGGTCTGAATGTTGCGTTCCCCCCAGATTCATATGCATAAATCATTTTTAAATTGCTTTAATTTGTAGACATTTTTTGTTGCTTTAAGGAATATTTATACTTTATTGTAGATCAAGAAGTGGCTTTTTTATTTACACTGAAGAAAATTTAGACTTTTAATATTGTGGTTTTGTTTGTGAATATCATAAATTTTTGGTATCCTGTATAATGTGCATAGTATTTGAGAATTCCAATGGTAAGCAGGAAAAGATAGACTCATTTCACTTATCTTCTGCTACGTAAAATCATCTCAGTGAAACTTGGTGCTTTGTTCTTCCACAGAGGGAAAAAGAGCTGATAAGAGCTGCCTAGTGTCCTCATGGCAGAAAGCTTAGCCTGAGTAATGAAGCAGCTTCTCCTGGCTTCAGTGGGCTAGAGGCTCTGCGTGCCTCAGTAGATGTAGTGGTGCATTCAGTAGGCCGTCTTCAAAGTGAAACTAGAGGAGGGAGAAAATCTCCAACAGAGGAGAAAGAGCTCATTGATAGCTGGAGTCTCCCATGTCCAAAGCATTTTTTATTATTGACTCAAACATAAAATAAGTAAGTAAATAGCCTCAGGATCATTTAATCTTGAATGACTCATCTTGCTCTAAATTCACATTAGAATTTGCTTTCAGATTTACACGGAAATGTCAGTCTCATAATTGTAATGACTACAGAGGATACCATCTTTCTCCTGTGTCATAGGTTTTAGCCATTTCCCTGTTTGAGGGAGTTACCAAGTTTTCCCTATGTTATAAATAGTACTTCTATGGGCAGTCATTGCACAAATTTTGCCAGGAAGAAAGGCCTACTTCCTTTCAGTTCTTAAAAAATGGAAATGTACTCGGGGCACCTGCCCATCAGGCAGGATTGACAGCTTTGCTTACATAGCTTCCCCTGAAGTCACTGAGATCCTCCATGTGGAGGCACCCCTTCCATCACTGGTCCTCTGCATCTTCCACCATCCTCACACACAGTTAGGCAGGTAGTTGCCCAAAAGAATGCACTTTCTTTTTTGGAAGATCAATTTTGTGCTGAGTTTGAGGGTGATTAGCTTTGTTATTTTACGGGATAATATACATATTATAAGAACCACTCTTCACATTTGCATTAAGACAGGAACTATCAATGTTTCTTAAATCCTAAAAATACTGGCACCATGAAGTAACGACAAATATACTTGAGATTGTGAACTATTCTGCTGCTTGCTCGACATTCATTAGCATCAAGTGAGTTCATGTGTAAAACTTTTCAGTCCTTCTACCTCTCTCTTTATGCTTTGTTCTCATGTATAGTAGTCCACTTTTCATTACTATTAACAAAATTCCTGAGGCAGGCTACATTTATAAGGAAAAGAATTTTATTTGGCTCAGAGTTTGGGGGGCTGAAAGTCCAAATACACGATGCAGGCCCTGGCAAAGGCTTCCTTTGACTGTCTCACTTGATGACAGATGGCAATGACAGGAGAACATGTGCGAAGAGATATCACATTGAAGAACTGGGAGCCAGAGAGAGCAAAGAGTTCCCCAGTCTCTTCTGAGGGCCTGGCTGCAACTGATTTTAGGGTTCCACTTGCCCCCACCCACCCCTCAGCACCCACGTATGGTACCAAGTCTCTAACACATGAACCCTTGGGAGACAAACCACATCCAAACCATAGCACCATCACTGACCACAGTGCCAAGAATAGGACCCTGGCTCTGTCTGAAGGACAAGTTAATAGAAGTTGTTAACCAAGGCATCATAATCTGCAAATTTTTTTCAGTTCTTTAACGAACTGATCTGTTTACGGAAAGGTATGGCATCCTCAGCAAAGAAGCCAGCGGTCCCCACCTGGTGCCAAGGATGGGTCCTGGGGACAGGAGGTTGGCACCTGCAGTTGTTACCCAGGCTACCAGACAGCCAAAGCAGATGGAACTGGGACCTGTGTGAAATTCCAGTCTGGAGTTATCAGGGGAGACCAGAGAAGCCTCGGACTTGATTTTGGGACCAAAGATAGAAACTGAAAGCATCAGAGGAGGGCAGGCCAGGATGAAGGTGCTCAAGGTGCCCTCTTGTTGGGGCCCTGGTGCTGTGATACACAGCTCTTAAGGGACTCTTAGCAGACCTGTTAAAACTCAGAGACCTTCTGCCTTTCCAATGGGTGTGTGGGACTGGATGACTTCTGGGTTCCAGAATAGCTCTAACGTGCCATTTTTTGGTATCATCTTATAATCTTGGCAGCATTAATGTTTCCATTTGTGGCATACACTTTTATAATTTGAGATCAGAGTGTGGTTCTGATACCTATGTGTCCAGCAGACCAGCTGATGGTGCTAAATTCACTTTTGCTGCAGTGTGAAATTGAAGGACTTCAATTTCAGTTCGTATTGTGCAAAACCATATAAAAATGTTCCCATCGAAAATTAGTGTCTTTCCTGAAAGTATAAATGTATTGGAGCTTAAGTTCATTACTTAAAAATAGTGGTTTTAGTGTTCCTCCAGGTAAGGTGCATCCTGGCTTAGAGATGCAGTCCCTATTTGGGGGAGATACAGGAGGCTGGAAGGGAAAGGCATCTGCCTCAAATATAGGTCCTCAGATCCACACCCCATGTCTGCCACTTATTATCCTCTGACTCTGGCTACATCACATACCCTGTCAAACATTAGCTTTCTTGTTTATAAAATAAGGAGAAACCCTAATGAGGGCACAGGAAAGATGAAATGACATGTGCCTTGAAAGTTCCTAACTCCACACTAGCTCATGGGCAGTTCCATCACCGTGACTTCTCTAAAGGCAAGGCATTAAGAGATACAGATTTTTGAGCAAAGAAATTCTATACTATGATTTGTTAGCATGTATTCTGGGATCTCTCAAATCTCAAATAAGCATTAGAGAGTTAAAGTTGAATTTAGGTAACATCTGGCCCCTGTTGAGCTAATTCCTGTGCCCTTGGTTTGGTTTATTGACTTTCTAGGTTTAAGGAGGACAATCTAGGCAACCCTATGCACCATGCTCAGTCAGACACTGACTATTGAGAATTCCTGAGCAAAGAGTGGACAGCACTGGCCCTGAGAAGAAAGGGAGGAAGTGAAGAAATGGAAGTGGCAGTTGCTCTTAGGGAGTTAAGGATCTCGTTGGAGAGATTACATCCTGGGTATGCAGAGTGTCCTATTTCCTTTAGGTATTGTGGTAATCCATTAAGTTAATCGTCTGTTTTTACTCAACCCCATGAGTCTTAGATAGTATCAGATTGGTGCTTTCAGCTTCGCATACAGCCCTGCCAGGAAACCTCTTGTTGAGAGGAGGCTGGGCCCTTCCTGGGCTGTTGACTGTGTTGACTCCTTTAGTCTCTTCCACGTCCCAACTGTTTGCACTGGGCTTTGTTGAGAGGCTGCCAGAACACCATCTACCTGAACCCTAATTTTGAACACCTCCTTGGCAGCCCTGCATCGCTGGGCTCTAAAGAGCACGTAAAGATCTCTGGAGTCAGTCTATGAGAAGGAAGGTGAGCAGAATGGCACAGATGCTGTCTTTGTCTAGAGGATGACCTTCCTGCCACAACATGGGACCTTCTCCATGGTTAAGCGGCTGAAAATCCATGCAGTGTGAGGGGAAACTTAGCCAGTGTTGCTGTCCCGTTGCACTGGGCTCTCCATTGTCTGCAGGCCCTTGCTTCTCTGCCTGCCTTTTCCTACCCCAAGTGCCATATTTCTCTCTGTGAATTGGTCCTGGTTTTAAGGTATATCTCTTAATGCATTTTCCTGTCTCCTCCTGCAGGGGAGCTGCTGAGCCAGCCTAGGCCAGAAGGAGTGGCAGAGATCATCTGCCCCAAAAATGGCAGCGAGAGAGTGAACGTGGCCTTGGTTTACCCACCTACGCCGACTGTGATCAGCCCCTGTTCCAAGTGAGTTCGCAAAGTCCCGCTGGCCCTGGCTTCTCACTCCTGATCCTTGCACTAGAAGTGTGATAACCAAACGCCAAGTTCAATTGCATCTGCATAAACTTTGAAAAGATTCTTCTGAGTGAGATCAACACCATAGCTTATGCAGCAAAATAGGAGCTGCTATTTTTCTCTTTTTGCATGATTTTTTTTGCTTTGCTGACAAAGTCAGAATATTCTCTAACAGCTTTGTTAGAAATATCATTCGCAGCCACACAGATTCCTCATCTAAATGTGCTCATTGGTTTATGTATATATGTAGGTATGTGCAATGGGAACAAGAGCATTTCCCCCCAGATCATTTATGCAGAGCTTTGTTGGAAGGCTGCTGGTGTCTGCCAAACCCCATCACCGTCACTAGAAAGTTCTTAACTCCATCATTGCAGAATTATGTGGGCCTTACATCAAAGAACAATGAGAGACCATTGAATAAGAAAAGTCTACAGAAAATCTGTAATACATTGGCTTTTGCTGTCCTTATCCTCTAGTCAGTCCTGGAAAATCGAGGACTATGCATTTTGCCATCACCTTCCCCACAGTGGACTTGTAGACAGAGACTGCACACATCGGCTCATTTTAAATAGAACATGAGCTTATTGTTCTAGCTAAAACCCATCCTGTTTGAGTTTTTCATGTCTATATTTTTGTAGCTAGGAACTAAAGAGACCACATGGAAACTGAGATGAAATCCCATGTGTATTGTATCTTAAAAAGTAGCAGCCACAGACCTTCTTGGGTCCAACCTCATTATTTTAATATCAAGTATTTATATTTGTGTGGCAAACTTTGCTTTTTCATCCTGTTGACCACACACATATCTTTTTCACACATAAGCCTTTTACATTGATGCTGGAAGGTTTGCATTTGAGAATTGTGACGTGTAAATTTCATCTTGGGAAACTTGCTGTTCAGCCACATGTGAGCTCTGTGTGGTAGGAGCTATATCTCCTCCTGGAAGTGGCAGCTCTCCTGCTGTGGCGTGTTCTGTACTGCCCCATCTCTAGGGGCATTACCACGCACTAGCAACTGCAGTGGGAGTGTGATGCCTACTTTCTCCAAACTGGGCAGCTCAGTACACAGAATATCCTTCATGCATCTTTGCTGGAAAATATCTCTGAATACCCAAGGGAGACACTCATTAAGGCTGTTTTCAGAATGCTCTTGTATCTAACATGTACCTCTTATAATTCATCACTGTTGTGACCCTAAGATCTGTGAAATCTTGAAGTGCTACAAATACATCAAAGCAGGATTACATAATAAGTTCCTGTTGGCTGGCACATATCCTGTCTTGAATATATCAAAACTCAGAAATTTTACTGTGCTGTAAATTTCTTTGAATGTGTACACATTGGACCTCCTCCTTTTCCCCTAGATACACCTCGGTAAAAGATAAGGGGGAGTTATAGAGCCAGAGGGAAACAGTTATCCAACGTACTTTGCATTGATGTAAATTTCTCTGAGCCACAAGAGAGGTTAATCTATTGCTTTGCCATAGACATGAGTCATTTAATAGGCAAGATAAGAGGTAGGAAATACATTATCCATTTACATGAGAAGCCACAGGGCACCGAGCAAGCATTACCAGTGTCCCATGTGGGCTTCTCGCTGTGCTGTACAGAAAGATCCTGATTATACCACCCTGAAAAGAATGCTATCAACCTCTCCCTCTGACAGTTTATTGAACCAAAATGAGCAAACGGCTTTAAAATCCTGGGTAATCAGAGGTCTGCAGGCTTGGACCTCTAGTTGCAGGAGGGGGATTGAACCACTTTGACCTAGCAATCTGAATAGTTTTATTTTGAAACAACACCCCACTAAAAAAAGTCTCACAAATTGGATGGCAGCTTTGCAGTACCAACTCCAAATGAAGGAGCACTCTGTATACTAACGCTTCATATCTCTGCAAGACATTTTTTGGTAGGGAGGCAAGGAGAAATTATCTGTTTAAAAATATAAACTCATAAAAATATGCTTAGATGAAGCTTAGACTTGTGCAGTCCACTTTATAAGCATGCCATGAGCACAAAATAAAACCAAACATACAGAGGCTGCGCTGGGCCCAGTGGAAGGTGTGAAGCACAGTGAGCGGTAGTATGGCAAGTGTGGGGATTTGCAGGGCCGATGAGGACAGCTTCTCACTAAGGTGTGAGGTCCCAACAAGCCCTAGGAGTCAGGAAGCTGAGGTTCTTACACTGTGTTGCAACTCCAGCCAGGTTAACTTCGGCAGCTCTCTACCAAGTGCTTTCCTACGTCGTCATTCCATAAGATGTAGGTGCATGGACAAGACCAGGCTTTGGTCATCAGGTGTGGATATCAGAATTTCCAGGGGAAACGACCAGGCATGAGACTTTAAAAAACACAAAAGTCTGTCTGGGGGGGATTGATACCAGCGGGAAGGGGGAGGATGTGGTGAAAGGGTGTAGGCAGGTGAATATGCTGCAAATACTGTGTATACATGTATGTAAATGGAAAAATGAGACCTGTTGATACTATTCCAGCAATGGAGGGAGGGGGGAATAAAGGATAATGGTGGAGGAGGTGAATTCAACTATGACATGTTTGATATATTGTAAGAACTTTTATAAATACCACAATATATCCCCAGCACAACAACAACAAAAAAGTAGAATAGAGAGAAAGAAACTATAAGCAAAAAGTAGAATAGAGAAACTCAAAAATATAAATATACCACACACATATGACCCAGTTGATTGTAAAGTGTGTGCATTGTACTTTTCAATCTCTCAGATCCCTTTTGTCTGTCTTAGGGTGGGCTTCCAGCCAAGAAGGCCTTGGTCTATCAGACCTTTCTCTGGTCAATATCCAGTTGGTAGCACAAGGCAGAAGCTGATGCAGGCCACATTGCTGTCAGCCTCTCAGTTTCCTCCACTCTTGGGCAGGGTGAACATAGCATTCATTGTTCAAGTCCAGAAAGGATGAGAGTGCCAGAAGGCTGTTAGTAGGTACACTGGGATGACAGATCAGGCCTGGGGACCAGAAGAGCTCCTGTACTCTTAGGTCATTGATGTAGATCTTATGGTGGTTTTCAAAAAGACACTCCAGGCCCTTCTCTGTTGTTTCCTCCTCTCCTGAATAGATCAGATCAGACTTATCAATTAACTGCCTGCCCTTGACCATGTATAAATAATGGTGCTGCACTGCAGTTACAAAGGAAAAAAAACACCATATGACTATTATTTGGTCCTTCTTTATGAACTCCACACTTCTCTTTTTCTCATTTAAAAAAATCTCTAGATGTTTTATTACCCTATGAGGAGAGGCAGAGAATAAAGCGTAATTTTGTTTTTTTTTAAATGTGATGCACCCCTGTGACTTTTCTCAGTGATTGGTGAGTTGAGGTTGCCACCAACATTCCATGCAGGAGAGGTTCCAGGAACTGAATGAAATGCCTCTCCTGCACCTCTCCCTCCAGGGAAAAACAGAGGCTGAGCGGCTTCTTGGTTGTTTTTTTTTTTTTTTTTCTTCTTTTGTAAATGTTTCTTTTTTTTAAATTTTTTCTTTTTTTTTTTCTTTATTATTTTTGTACCAGGGGGACATTGTGACATTTACAAAAGTTCTTAGTCGAATTTACCCCCTCCATCACTCTCCTTTACTGAGTAGCTTCGTGTGTTCTTTGCTGATGATCAGATCGAAATGTCATTCCCATACTTTGGATAGCTTGATTTTTAGGGATAGCTGCATGTGACCTGAGATGACCACATGTCTAATAGCAAATTCTCCTGAGTTGCTCCAAAAAATTCTGACTTCTTTGAGAGTATAGGTTGTGTCATGTACCTTTTTAAAGCCCTATTGATGTATAATTTACACACCATAGAACTCACCCTCTTAATGATTCTCAGCTGTTTATGGAGCTGTGCACCCCCTTACCACAGCCCAATCTTAGAACATTTTCATCACCCTAATGCCACCACTTGTGTCTAATACAACACCTAGCTGTGTGCAGTCAGTGAGTATTTTTAGTGTCCCTCCAAAATGGTTTTGTTAGCTAGTGTGTTGCTATAAAACAGATTCCTGAGCTTGAAAGAAGCTCTCATAAACACATGCTATCCCTGTCACAGTTCAGTCCAAAGGCAGTGAATTGACCTGCACCCTTCCCTGCTGGTTGCCTGTTTACTGGATGGTGGAGGAATGAAGGGAGGGGGAGCTGCTTGGCAGGACATGAGGAGCCTTCTTCAAAAGAACGTCTCAGTGGCAGTCCAGTTGACCCTAGATATCCAAAGTATGCTGAGCCTTGTACATGAGGAGTTGCAAGGGACAAAAGTATGCAGTTGTCCTTTGGTGTGCACTTAGGCATTGGTTCCGGAACACCGCCTCCATGAATACCAGAGTCAGCAGGTGCTTGATTACTTTATATAAAACGGCTCAGCGTTCACATGTAACCTGTACACCTGCTCCTATGTACTTTAAACCTAATACAGTGAAAATAGTTGTTATGCTGGATTGTTTGGGCAATAAAACTCTGTACATGTTCAAGTACAGATCCAATTTTTTCCAAAATATTTCCAGTCGGGGGGAGGGGTGGCGGTCTCAGGGGGAAATGTAGGGAGAAAGTGGAAGAATAATCTCTTAAGTTTTGATTTGTAAATTCCTGGCTCCATCCACTTGCCCTTTGGGCAGAGACACTTAGTATTTCCGATTCATGGGGTATGTGAGCTTCTTCAGGGGAGAGGGAGCGGGCCAGTTGCAGTTGATTTTTTTCTACAGGATACTTCTTTTTCCTCCAAAGACATTCTGTCTAACCTTGTCCTTGACAACTGAACTGTGAACTCTATGATAAACTGGCTGATAACCCAATTTACTTGCTTTTGGTGTAAAAGACAGGAAGAATTCATCCGGTTAGCATATTAAATTGTTTTACCTTGAGACATACTGGAATGCAACCCACATTCTTCCATGTGGTTTCTTAATGGATTGACCCTTGAACATGCAGGAAGTGGGAA